ATCTCTAAAAAAAAAAAAATAATAATTAGTGGCTGGGTGCGGTGGCTCACACCTGTCATCCCAGCACTTTGGGAGGCCAAGATGGGCAGATCATGAGGTCCGGACCAGCCTGACCAATATAGTGAAAGCCCGTCTCTACTGAAAACACAAAAATTAGCCAGGTGTGGTGGTGTGTGCCTGTAATTCCAGCTACTCAGGAGGCTAAGGCAGGAAAATCGCTTGGACCTGGGAGGCAGAGGTTGCAGTGAGCTGAGATCACGCCACCGCACTCCAGCCTGGGCGACAGTGAGACTCTGTCTCAAAATGAATAAATAAATAAATAAATAAAAATAATTAGCTGGGCATGGTGGTGTGCTCCTGTAGTCCCAGCTACTTGAGAGGCTGAGGTGGGAGGACAGCTTGAGGTCAGGAGTTCGAGGTTGCAGTGAGCTGTGATTGCACTACTGTGCTCCTGCCTGGGTGACACACTGAGACCCGGTCTCAAAAATATGTATTTTTTTTAATGGAAAATACTCCTATACCAATTAAAATCAGAACTGTTTATTGTTCTTAAAACAAATTTTCAAAATATTTGAAACTTTCATAATAAAATGTTGGGGAAAAAGGATTCCAGTCAACAGAAATCCCAGTTCCTCGTCCACTGTGCCGTGCAGAGGGGCCTGCAACCAGGGCTGCTGCCTGCTCTCTGGGTTTGGCCTTGGGCCAGCCCTTTGCCTGGGTGGCTCAGGCCCCTCATTTGTGAGATGGGCCTAATGACCCACTGCAATGGGTGGTTCTGCAGGTTAAATGCTAAATGTGAGAATACGCTCAAGTTGTAAAATATGCTATGCCCCTTCAAGGTTTTACTGTTACAGACATTTCAATTGATAGTATTATAAACAGGTTCTTGTTAAGCTAAATATCATCTAGTGTTTCTCCAGCACACTATGGTTTTAAAGAAGAAAAGAAAGGTGGCCACTGAGTCCTATACTTTGTCAAGGGATGGGAGATGCAGTGAACAGCAAAAGGAGCCCTCAGCAACCGCAGATCCTCACAGTGGGATCTCTCCAAGTGCAGGAGTCAAGTTCTTATAGCTCAGATAGGGCTGAAGTTTGGAAAAATCAGATAGAAACACATAAAAAGAACCTAAATAGAATTCAGAATTTAAGTGTCAGGTGAAAAGAGTGAGTCTTAAAATTAGGGCAGGAAAACTATTTGTCATTCCTCTATTCCTTTGAAAAGGCAGCAGAGTTACTAAGTTTCCAAGATCTAATTATAGTTCTGGCCTCTGCTTCAACATGGGGACTTGTCAACTGTAACTTAAGAGTGTGTAATTAACAGAAGTGAGAGATTCAACACATTTCACCCCTAATCATTTATGAGGCAGCATAAAATACTACAACAACTGATCATGGCTAGGCCTTAGATCAGAGGCTCATGGACAATTATAACCTCAATTGCATCTGACAACCCTCGAGCTAAAGCTCCCCATTCTTACAATATCAAATCCTGCTAAGATGGAGAACACAGCAGGCATAACTGCTTGTTCACAGACTGTGCTGTGAGATGTGCCAAGAGTCAAGAAGGAGTGCAGACAGAATCCTGTGCACTCCTGTTGTTGTTTACCTGACAACAAAACACGAGGCCTAAATATTGGAAGCTATCAGTCCCGGAAGGTCAAACATGTACTGTAGTCAATATTCAAAAACAAAGTGAGCTGCTGCAGGAAGGAAGGGTTTTAACTGCCTGTTTGGAAATTTTGTGAAGGGGGATCTTGCAGTGGATAGGCTGCACCAGCGATACGCAGATACGCTGGGAAGTCTTAGGGACACACCTGGCTCTGGGATCATTTTTTCCCACAAGCCCTGGGGTCCCTCCTATGTGCCAGGCATCAGGCACACCAAAGCTGTGTCCCAGGGAGCTCTCAGCCCAGGAGAGAAGACAAACAAGGACAAGGTACAATCAATGAGATCAATAGCAAGAAAGGAGGTCCGGACAGAGAATCATGAGCGCTAGGTGTCTGCATATGCTGAGGTCAGGGACAGCATCACAGTAGACAAGTTTTCACTGCACCCCAAAGAGCAGCAGGCCTTTCGCTCGACTGACTTGGGGGGCTGGCTGAGGAGCATTCCGGGTGAGGAACTCGAGTCCCCACAGAGACTGTGAGAAGCCAAGGGTGTTCAGAGATGTGCACGAGTGTCCTATAAAAGCACCATTTTCCCCTGAAAGTGAGAATAGTACAAGGGCATGGTAGGTACCTTTATGGCCACACAAACCAATATGATGAATTTTCTGTAAAAGGTAATAATGTGGTAGATTTACCCAAAATCAATCATATTATAAAATTTCCTATTCAACTTAAAATTCTTTGAGGGCTCACACTCAAACATACAGAAATTAGCATTTTTACCATCATACATCATTCCTTGGTCCATCAATATTTAGTAAACTTAATTATTTTCATGACATTTTAGAATGCAAAATACTCAGAAATTAAGCAAGTTTGTTTTCTTCACTCTAGTTTTCTTTAAAATGAAGTTTACACATTGCATCAAGAAGTTAGTTTTGAGAGCACAGGCTTATCCAATTTCCATGGAGTTTTCCACAGACACTTCATGACAATGCCCTACAGCATGAAGGAGGACACCGAGATTATTGCAAGAAATGGAGGACCAGGTGTGGCGGCTCATGCCTATAATCCCAAGGCTTTGGGAGGTCAAGATGGGAGGAATGCTTTAGGCCAGAAGTTTGAGACCAGCCTAAGAAACATGGAGGCAAAACATTAAAAAAAAATTAGCCAGGTTAAGTGGTGCATGCCTGTAGTCCCAGCTACTCAGGAGGCTGAGGCACGAGAATTGCTTGAGCCCAGGAGGTTGAGGCTGTGGTGAGCTATGACTGTGCCACTGCACTCCAGCCTGGGTGACAGCAAGACTGTGTCTCTGAAAATTAAAGAAAACAAAGAACAACAACAAACAAAAAAAGGAATGGCTCAACCCATCTTCTATATAGTTACATATGGTCCAGACAAGCGTGCATCAAAGTTAAATGTTTCCTTTACAGTAAAATACATTCTTCAAAATAGAGTAGTTTGAAGATGAGATCTTTAAATTTGTAGAGATGATTTAAAGTAAATATGCCTCATGTTACTACATTGGCAGGAGTGTTTTAAAACCAGTACAACAAGGGGTACCAGCCCTCCAAAGCCATGCTGGTTATGTATAGCAGGCTGATGGTCCTGGTGTCCCTGCTAAAGGTACACTGCCCCTGAGCCAGGGAACAGCACTTCTGTACAACTGGACACACGCTGGGAAGTCACTGCCTCCGATGCTTCACGAAAGACACATTTTGCTGTTTTAGCACATACCAGAAAACCAACTTTATATGATTGCAAGATATGAAAAACATAAATAGCCTTGGCTTTGTAAGTTCCCAATGGTATGGAAAATTTCATAAAATTTTTAGAAAATGCTATTGTCAAAGATGCATACTGACCTATTTTTTTTTTTTTTTTTAGATGGAGTCTTTCTCTGTTGCCCAGGCTGGAGAGCAATGGCATGATCTCAGCTCACTACAACCTCTGCCTCCTGGGTTCAAGCAATTCTCCCACCTCAGCCTCCCAAGTAGCCGGGACTACGGGCACCCACCATCACCCCTGGCTAATTTTTGTATTTTTAGTAGAGATGGGGTTATACCATGTTGGCCACGCTGGTCTTGAACTCCTGACCTCAAGTGATCCACCCACCTCAGCCTCCCAAAGTGCTGGGATTACAGGCGTGAGCCACCGCACCCGGCCCTGATGTATTTTTGGGTGAAATGACAGATGCCTCAGATGTTTTCAAGTACTATATATAGCATGAAAACGCTGGGTAAAGATAAAGAAAACAAGATGGCAAAATGTAGGCAATTGTTAAAGCTGGCTGATATAGTGGTTCATTAGGCTATTTTTCTCTATATTTGTGTATATTTGAAAATCTTCATTATAAAAAATTTATAAGTATATAAAGGGAGAATCTGGGGGGGCCAGGCATGGTGGCTCATGCCTGTAATCCCAGCATTTTGGGAGGCTGAGGTGGGAAGATCCCTTGAGGCCAGGAGTTTGAGACCAGCCTGGGCAACACAGTGAGACCCTGTCTCTACAAAAAATAAAATAAAGAAAAAAGAAAGAAAGAAAGAAAGAAAAAGAACAAAAAATGAGGGGGAAATATGAAGGGAAAAAAGTACATAAATGCTCTTTTAAATGAAAAAACAGATTCCCTAACCACATTATTTTCTATCAGTAGGTAGTGTTTCCTAACCTTTGAGGCTGGTGACCAACAACTTGGGTCACTTGTCCTACTGAAAGTGGTAGATCTTGTGTTCTTAGATAAATTCCTCTAAAATTCTAAAACAACCCTTTAAAGAAATAAATACAATAGGGAAGTAACCAAGTCAACAAGTGGAACAAACTCAGATTGTACGTACATGAGTAGTTAGATGGATCAGGAAAGAGGTGCTTCACAAATGGCACCACAAAACATTAAAAATTCACGGGTTTTTTTAAAGCACCTCTAATTTGCCTCTCCAAAAACATAAAAAGATGACAGAAAATAAGGAAACATCATCTGCTGTGTCACAGTACAAATTACAGATCATTTAGGTTTCTAATTTTAGCATCAGATTCTTTAAATACTATTATTGATCTGCTAGGAATCAATGTTCTTGAATTCAGCAAGTCTTATACAAGCCACAAGTAATGTTTTCAACAAAACCATTACAGATTCCCAAATTGTGATGTTCTCATTTTTACTTAAATGCTGGACTGTAAAAGAATAAATTACGATCTCCAGTTTAAATGGTCTTTATAATCTTTTTCTAGGAAGACTGAATAATTACTTTCCTAGAAATCTAAATTAAGAGCTTCCTGAAAACTTAATGAGTTACGGGAAATAGAAACATAACATTTATTACTAGCCTGAACAATACCGAATTATCTCCCCTCCTCATTCTCCCTAAAGGCAAAGCCTGATTAAGAACCACCATGGTTTGGTTCTCCAGCAACTTTTATTGGTCAAAGGATGCAGAAGGATATATGGTGTCTGTGGGTTAATTAACAGGATCGTTTATAAAACAACTTTACATTTATCTTATTTTTAAAATTCTTGCTTTTGAATAAGCTAATGTGTTAGAATAGACATGCTCCTATCCCATGCAAAAAGCTGTTCAAAAATGAGCAGCTTGCAAATCTATCATAAATGAGACATTGAATAAAACATTCTTACAGTGAGGTCTAAGAAGTAGTTCAGTCTGAGAATTTGCTTCAGATACTTTTTGAAATAAAATATTCAAGGCATAAAAAAAGCAAAACTCAAAATATCTAAAACAGATACATACTGGTATTTTTATCCTAGTTACTTCCCAGAGTTTTTGTGTGTCTCTGTGCTCTGCTGATTAAAATAAACAACAAAAGCAGTAGGCATCTTCTAACTAAAAGTTAATTTACTAGTCTTCAACTAAAAAGTCACAGTGGAAGAACATATATAAGGTGAAGAAAGCTTTTTAACCTTTCAGACTTAAATAATACTGTATTTCAACTTTAAAGAAAGGTTCCACCATATATTTTTTGCACTGACATTTTAAAATATAAGAACAAGTCTTTGTAATACAATATATACTTCAATATACCCAATATACCTTATATGAATTAAAAACATGTCAACTTGATAACTGTAGTAAGGCATTTAAGTATTCAGCAGAAGCCATAAAGAAATTTCTTAATGAGTGGTGTCCTTTTCATATTAACTGGATTTAGCAGGTTTCCTTAAAATGAACAGGAAACAAAAGATATGAAAAACAGGCAGTGATGCCATTCTACTGAATTCCAGAAAAAGCACAGTACAAACAATGTGTTTTCTAGCAGGGAGACCAGACAGACCAGCAAACTGGAAATGGATGAGCGGCCCTAGCTTGCATGGTCTATTGTATTTTATCCACCGCTGAGAGAAGTGTTAGTAGCCCGGTAGGTTTGCGTAAAGGTACCAGAATCCTTAGTGCTAGTCTCATAGCCTAAAACAGAGCAGGTACTCCAGATATACTTCCTGAACTGACCTGGATGAAGAGGCTTTAAAATCAACAGAGCTGGACAGTATAAAGTTCACGGAAAAACTCCATTTTTCATTTTATTTTTTTTGGTATGTTAGTGAATGTCTACTGATCTAGTATTTCAAGTGTGGATCACGTAAACACCATGTAGAATGTAGTAAACAGAATTAAATAAGAAACACACTGGCTATCAATGCCAGAGTCTTTGAATATCAGGTCATAAATATAACCAATTGTGCAATATAACCAACATGATGAGAAGAGCACACCTCACAACTGACAATTTTAGTTCATATGATTAAAAAAAATAAAATCTGAAACTGCATTTAGTGCCACATTCTATCATATCATACATCAGATTCCATGCTGCGGAGCCGCACTGGGCTACAGGACATACAGTACATAGCATGTTTATAGCATGTTTATAGCATGTTTTAAACCGAAAGTGAAAGGGAAAATATGAAACAGAAAATTTTTACATACACATCTAACGGTGTTGTCCATTTAATTCGATTTATATGATTTGCTGTGCCACTTTGACCAGCTTGCAGAACACCCCAAATTCTCTTTTCCCCATAAAGATCTACTTCCATATAGAGTAGAAAAGGATGGTGGTAAAAAAACTTCAGGTTCTTCAGGTTCCAACGATTGTGTCCCAAATGCCACTGTATGAACACCTAAAAAATAATAAGAACAATGTCAAAATCTGCACAATTATAAATGCAAAAGTAAATACAGCTTAAAGCCTAAAAGAGAATTTGTGAATATCTCGTCTTTCAATACTTGTCTGTGTCTACTACATGATGTCGACTATAAATAAAACGTCCACTGTGGTAAATGGGAAAAAAGAAGAAGCTTTAAAAAGTTAAAGGGAGACATTTGTCAATTTCATAAATGAGTCTCCTGTTTTAGCAAAAGGCACATTCCTTTAGACCTCACTCAATCCAGGAAAGGCTCCTCACTGACATAAGGAATCAGGATATCTCACCCTCTCCCGTCAACCACCACCTGCCCTTCCTTTCTTTCTGAACAAGAACATGAGAATTTCCTATAGGGTGTAAATTCTTTCAGTTAGAACATCCAACTTTAACTTATGGGATAGTCTCCTTCTCTTTTTTTTTTTTTTTTCCTGAGACTGTCTCACTTTATCACCTAGGCTGGAGTGCAGTGGTGCGATCTTGGCTTACTGCAACCTCTGCCTCCCAGGCTCAAGCAATTCTCCTAAGTTTCATGAGTAGCTGGGACTACAGGTGCATGCCACTATGCCTGGCTAATTTTTTGTATTTTGTAGAGATGGTGTTTCACCATGATGCCTAGGCTGGTCTCAAACTCCTGAACTAAAGCGACTGGCCCACCTCAGCCTCCCACAGTGCTGGAATTAGAGCCACTGGACCTGGCTGGGATCCTCTATTTTTCATACTGCAGCTTCCCAAAGCTTTCACAGGCCTCTGCACTTCAGCTTGTCAGGAACTCAGGGCAGTGAGGTGTCCGAACCCACCTGTGCGCTCTCCCATGGCTCCTAACAACCACACTCCTGAGCATTCGGGGCCTGTGCGCGCCGGGGTGACCTCAGCTGTCTCAAGGCAGCATCTCCGTACTGAATACCCGAGCCCATTCTTTCTGGGTCCAGCTCACCTAAGGACCAAGCAAGTCTTCTTTAAAAAAAAGTTTTATGTTTCTGAGATCCCAAAAATAGATTAAAAAAAAAAAAAAAAAAAAGCAAAGTACGGAACCCTGTGTATATATCCCACCACTCTGAATAAAGAGGAAAAAACAATTTACATGTTTGCTTGCACCGGCACAAAACGTCTCTAGCACGATACATAAGGAACGGCTGATTCGGAGGAGTTCTAGATGGCCGGGGACAGGAGGGGGTGGTAACAGCGGGACTTTCCACTGCATACTCTTTTATACTTCTTGAATTTCAAATTATGTGAATATATTATTTATATAAAATAATTTAAAATTAAATTACAAAGATACAATTTTTCACTTATCGGATGGGCCAAAAGTCCAAGTATGATGATACTACACGCTGTGGACATGGCTTTAGTGAAATAAGCCCATCACTAGGAGAAAATGTGACCACCTCTACACCAAGATCCCAAATGCTTATGTTCTCTGACCCAGCAATTCCACTTCTGCGTATCTGTCTGACACACAGACTCATGCACACGAAAAAAAAAAAAATATATATATATATATATAAAAGTATTAACTGTAACATTACTTATAATAGCAAAATACAGGCAACAACCCAGATGTCCAAAGTAGACTGGCTACATAAATTATGGCAACACATACGTGAAATATAGGTTGAGTGGTCCTTATCCAAAATACTTGAAACCAGAAGTATTTTGGATTTTTTCAGATTTTGAAATATTTCCATTATACTTACCAGTTCAGCATCCCTAATCTGAAAATCTGAAATTTGAAGTGCTCCAATGAGCATTTCAGTGGCAATGTTGGCAATTAAAAAGTTTCAGATTTTGGAACATTTTGGATTAGGGATACTCAACCCATGTTATATATTACACACACACATTATGTATGACATTATGTGTTATATATATGTACATTAGGTATATGTATATACGGGAACTATACGCTGATTTGTCATGATTTATAGGTTATATAACAGTAAGTAAAAAAGCAAGGCGTGGTAGTCTATCATATATTTTGTATAAAAAAAGGGAAGAAAACAATGGTTTTTGAATGTATTACCCATTAAAAAAAATAAAAAGTACTGCTGAAGAATCCTAATTTATGCCCTTATTTTTTTTAACCTAGAGGTACTTATGATTTTGATGATCTCAGAAAAAAACACATCTTGAAGACTGTATATGAGTTGCTCTATCTGATGTATTCAGGGATACAATATTAAAATAGCAAGGTCATGTAAATACAACCTCATGCTGAGCTTAGTAATACTCAACAGCAAGCCAACTGTAATGTTTATGTTACAGAGTCTTGGTTTTTGTACCAAGCTTAGTAATTTTTTTTTCTTTCTGATAAAAAAAAATACAAAAGGATGACGCATCCACTTCTGTTGAAACCCAGCCCTTCCAACTGGGCCCGACTCTCCTCCTTCCTCCTTTACCTAGCACCCTCCTTCTTCCCTGCCCTCTCCTTGCCCATTCTTCTCTCCGTTCCCCCTTTTTAAACATGCTGCAATTTCTCCCATCACCCACACCCCTGACTTTAAATTAACCCTTTGCACCCTACAGTGCCAGCCTGCGCTTCCTCAGGAGAGGAGTGGACACTCTGCTTGCTCACTTCCTACTTCTTCCTGACGGATGGCCAGCCATCTTCTACCTTCATAATTCTGCTGAAACTGTTCTTGATCAAATTGATCACTGACTTTCTATTCCCTATCCCAATGTGTGTTTTTCAGCTCAGTCTTAGCTTATGAGGCTTCCCTCTGTTACTATTACAGTACATAATGAACACTCCTTTGATTTACTTATAATTAGGGCTTAAGTGACACCCACATTCCCTTGATTTTCTTCACACATTTCTGACCATTTCCTTTTTCATCTTTTTTGTAGATTCCTCTTCCCCTGCTCATCCTTCATCTCCAGGGTTCTGTTGATCACTGCTCTCCTTAAACACTGTTCTCTGGATGATCACATTGCTTCCACAGTTTTAGCTGTTCCTATATATTGATGGTTCCCAAATTTATACTGCCAGCCAGGAACTCTTCCCCAAGCTTACTAGATAACTCCATGTGCATGTCCCAGTGTCACCACAAAGGCTGCACATTCGCAACAGAGCCATCTTTATTCCCTCACACTCCCTGCTTCTCCTCTGGCTCCACCGCATCTCTGTCCAGAGACCCCAGTGTGACAGCTGTGAGTCATCCTTGGTTCCTCCTCCCCTGCTGGCCCCTCCTGCTCACCCTGTCCCACCTAAGAACCAGTTGTCCTGTTCCACTATTGGACATATGAGTCATAAGATGCTACTGCCTAAATATATCTTAGATCCATCTCTCTCTCTCCATCTCTGCTTCCATATCCCTATTAAAGCATTAATCAGTCATTTCTTACTAGGATTACTCAAAAATGCCTTATAACTGGTATCCTGGCCTCCAACCCTGTCCTCTCTTCAGTCTGTTTTCAACATAACTCCCTACATACATGACTTATCTCAGGTCACAACCCGATCACATCACCTACCTGCTGACAACCCACCACCTACAGCAGTGGTTCTCAACCTTGGATGAACATTAGAACCGCATGAGTGAACATTTAAAAACGCTGATGCCTCGACCATACTTCAGCCCAATTAATTCAGCGTCTCCAGAGGCAGAGCCTGGGATTAGAACTTTTAATGCATCTCAGTGACTCTAGTGCTCATCCAGGGTTGAGAATTGGTAATCTACAAGATAAAGTTCTAGATCCTTGATGAGGACTGGCTGGTTCCTGCCTTTCTTCAACCTTTTCTCCTGCTATTCTATCTTCCTCACTCCCTTTGCTGGCTCACTCTTCCTTATATTCTGAAAGCCTGAGCTCATCTAACACCTTCTCCTGGAAGCCCTCCCTGACACCTCCTCTATCCTCTGGCTGTGGCAGGTCCCCTTCTTCATGTTACCCTGAGCCTGTGCATCCCTCAATTACCACATCAGCCTCGTGATATTATAATTATCCTCTGACTGTCTCCCACGGAAGACAGTTTCTTGGGGGACAAGGGGTGTGATTTATTCATTTTTGTATCCCAGCATCTGACAAAGAATAGGCACTCAGATGTTTGAATGAATCAATTAAAAGGTGATGCCTATATATAGTTACTTTAGTAAATGACAATTATATAGTATTTTGTCAGCTGCCTACATTAGGATTATTTTGAATTATTTTAACTGAAGCAACAAACACAAAAATGAGGCATTTTATAATTGAGGCATGCTCAGTAAGCTTCAGAAATAAAATTACTCTGGACTCCATAGCTCCATGATGCCCGATCTGCAAAGATCAACACTACACCATGTACCTGTAACTCCCTTACACATGACCACTGGTCCAACAGAATTAGCATGCTGTTGACAGAGTGGACAAAGGCCTATTCTTCCTCCTTTTAGTGAAGGACCCAAGAAATACTATAATTCTAAATGCAAACACTCCCTGAAACCTTGACTACTCCTCCACAGCTGAGTTGGTGTGCCCATCCACCTTCATCACCATGGAAACCATCCTGATAAGGAAGGGCTTTCACCTCAGCCAGGAGAACATGACCTTTGAACCCATATGTGATGATTTTAGGTTGGCAGGTACAGAGAGAATAGTCTTTATTAAACCACTCCTGAAACTATTAATTAAAAGGTGATCTACTGAGCTAGAGTGTAAAATATGCAGAAGAAAATTTGACTAATGGAAAGGCTTTTACCTGATTCAATTTTGTTAAGTATTTTTCTTGCACACTGTACAAAAGCCTCTTCTACATTCTCCCCTGTTAGTGCACTTGTTTCCAAAAACATCAGCTCTAAAATGGACATCAAACAAAATAAAGTCATATTTAGAAGATGATAATTTTCACTTACTAAAAGTCTGTGCAGCATTCTCTTAGAAAAGCAGACAAAATATAATTTATAACCTAAAACCATATATTTCTGTCAATATAAAACCAATATATGTCGTTATGTGTTTTTTAAATGTTAGAAGAATTTCAGCACCGGACTGAAAAGTCACTGGAATCTTGTGCTAGCCCTTCACCTGGTGAAAGGCCTGAGCAAGCCACCAGGCTTCCCCAGCTGAGTGACCAGCCATCAGGAAGGAGCTGGCTCGCCAAAACGGCCCTGCCACTGATTTCAGGCAAAGTTGCAATGTCCTCCTTCAAACAATCTGAGTGTCACCACAAATATGACCTACAAGTGTTTACACTTTTTAGGGGACTATACTGCAGTTTGTCATACAGCCCATGAAGAGACAGTACAGGAATTAATATTCTTTCTACCCACTAGAGTGGCTGTTCATCTCAGCAGAAAGGCCTGTTCTGCCTGCTCTCTCAGCAAACCACAGCCTCGCTAGCCTCTTGTATCCTCACTTGTAAAAATGAGTTTAGATGACATCTAAATTCCTTTTCATCTTTGTTAACATTCCAAACTTCTGATTTCTAAACAGTTTTTTAAAAACTGTCATGATGGCGTATGGATTTCTCTCATGTTTATTTTCTTAGCAAGAAACTAGTAAAGTTACAATATAATTTGGAATCTTAGAGTCCAATCAAATATTGATATTAGCATATTATAGTCTTTGGTTCTAAAAATTAAAGTTATTTAAAATGTCTGAATTTTTAAAAAATCATTCTCTTATCCATTAATAAAGCAACCATTAATTTTATGTGGCATTTTCACGTATTCTACACGGAAATTCAAAAAAGTTTCAAAGTCACCTATAACCAAATGACTTAAGTTTAGCAAATGAAGCCAATAAGCCAAGTATTTCTTCTGCTTCCCTTTCTATTTGGGCTAATACTTCACCAAATTTCCTTCAAAATACATTAAAAAATAATGACATCATTT